CAGTCTCTCCCGCTCATCGGCGGGCGCCTGCAGCCTCTGTGGGTGGTTCAATGACTGCTGATATCACCGCTCTTCTTTTCTCCTGCACAACCGCAGCCTCTGGGCTGTCCATGCCGTACTGGGCAAGAACCTGCCGGCTTCTGTGTGCTGGTACCTGGGGCGCACCGCATCCTTGTAGATGAATGTCGGATGCCGCTGCTCTTCCTCAGGGCTGTGACCAATGACGTAGCCTTTGACAGTAGACCAATGACAGTCTTACCTATGCTTGGTCATGCCCCCCTTGCTCCGCCCAAGCATTGCTGAATACAGATGAAATCGGGCGCAATCAGGGTGGTATGGCCGTAGACAGCATTGCTGAATACAAGTACCGGTATATCTCTGGTCTTGGATATATAGTGCATTTATTTACAGTACTTAGTCTGCTATATTTTATTTTTTATTTCCTTATTAACCCCTGTCTGGACCCAGTGTTGACTATACTTGCATAGAGCAGCCTGTGTTAGGGCTCATATTATACACACTGCACTGTTACTGCATGTATTGCATTAGCACCTCCCATACATATGTGGTAGTGCTGCGTATGCAGTAACAGTGCATGCAGTAATGCACTGCATACACAACGCAGCGTGTATATTTTGAGCCCTAATACAGGCTGCTCTATGCACACAGTCGTGTCACCACATTCTGGAATATCATCAGCCTGCATTAGGCTTCAAACTATACAAGCTGCATTGTGCGCATTCGGTAAGGCAGCATATGTAGTACTGCAGCGCATGTAGTAACACAGCATGTATAGTTATTGTTGATACCATATTGTTTTTGTTGACCCTCTTTTCCACTTACAGAGCTAGTTTACTATTTTTCCCTGAAATAATTATTCAAAAACATTTAACCTACTGATGCCTCAATTAATGCAATTTCATTGGTATCTAATTTTATTTTGAAATTTACCAGTAGCTGCTGCATTTCCCACCCTAGGCTTATACTTGAGTCAATAAGTTTCCCAGTTTTGTGGTAAAATTTGGTGCCTCGGCTTATATTCAGGTCAGCTGATACTTGAGTAAATACGGTAGTCACCAGAAAACAGGATGTTAGAACCCAGTTCCTAAGTTAAATTTTGCTGATTTGTGACTTTAAAATTTTGTTTATAAAAATCGAAACCCCTTATTTCATTTTAGAAGAATTGTCTTGAGCTCATTTTGATTTCCTTTATGAAAATTCCTTCATGTGTCTTATTTCGTGTGTGTGTGTGTGTGTGTGTGTGTGTGTGTTTTGATATTTCTGATGCATGGAAATATTGGAAGCAAAAAATACTAAGTGGTCAATACTTAGTGATTTACATTTATTTCCCACTAAGTAATTTTTTTTACAATATTTTCAGCTACATAACTGCACCCCACTTCCCTTAAATTAATATATTTTAGATGTTTTTTGCACCTTGGCAAGACTGCCCCATTTGTCTGCTCAGTGTACTGCCACTAACACATTCATTTCATGTAACCCATGTTTATGTCTCTGTCCACAGAGAATGTTTCTAGTTAACTATTTTTGTGACCCACCCATGGGTGAGAAATTTTCACCTTTGTTGAAAGACATTCTTTTCATCTTCTGGGTTTGTGGAGGCAGTTTTCTAAAATAGATCAACTTGTGTTTATTCTGAGGGGGGAAAGTAATAGAAGTAATTTCGCTCCTTGTCATGTGTTTAAATGTGTTCAGTACACTTTGGGGTCAGAGATCTTTAGACTTAGACCTAAGACTGTGCATTGATTTCTCTTGATAGTGAGGACTCTGAAGATAAAGATGTGAAGACCAAGAAGGATGACTCTCACTCAGCAGGTAGTAAACTATTGCTAATTGAATAGTGTCATGCTATTTGTTTACACGTTTTAACACCTAGGTTTTAGATACCAGACACTGTTAGCAGTAATGGGGTTAAAAAGAATTTGCCGCTTGGCCTACCACCCCCATTTTAGATTAAAAAAAATTACTCAGGCCCCTCTAATGATTGAAAAAAAACCACCTCTTGTAATCAAGGATAATGTGCAGATATTTGCTTTTGCAGCCCCCTGGATCTTTCCAGCACCCCCACCAGGGGGTGGTATCACCCCCTTTTGGCAAACAGTGGCTTTATAGTGATTCTTTATCATGGCAGCTATTACAGTCGCCTGTGAAGCTGTTTTCAAAATACATCCAAACCTTGAAACAACACTACCTGCCTGTATGCAGATCTCATGGTGTTTTAAACTGATTCTTGAAACACTTGCACTCACTGCAATAGCAACAGAAAAATCTTTGTCTATAAGGAGGCCCAAATGGTTCAAACCTATGTTGTTCAAAGATCACCTGAGCATATCCTGCCCTGAGTTTTCTAGTTCAGTGGGTCTAGGTGAGACTTTGTTATTTTAAATGCCTAATATTATTCTGATAGTTAAGATTGAAGACCGTGTACATACAGTAGATAAATAATAGAGATATGTATTTCCTGTTGCCTATATGCTCTTGACTCTATGGGACAGTATTAATGCCAACCCACAGGGTTTCCCAGACTGAACCTTTGTATCATCAGATCTCCTTAGAATTATATATAAAACCAAAACCACACTCATTGCCATCGAGTCCTTGCTGACTCATAGCGACTCCTTGTGGGTGTCTGAGACTCTAGATCTTTACAGGAACAGACTGCTTTAGCTTTCTCCCATAGAGCAATTGGTGGGCTTGAACCACTGGCCTTTCAGTTGACAGGCCATCATCTAGCCCACAGCGCTGCCACCATAGCTCTTTTAGGTAAGGATAAAAAGAGTGGGTAACTCTAGGTTGAAAGGTTCGTTTCGAACCTGTTCATTGACCTTTTGAAACAGTGGCCGCAGAAAGCTTTTTTGTGGGACTTTTCGCTTAAAAGAATGAATGTAAACTAACGAAGTCTCTTTGACCAAATCAAAATGTTACACTCTGGTGGCTTTGTTTACTGTTGTTATTTTTGAATTTACCCTTTAGAATCAAGCATTTAGTCAATACTGTTCTCAGCTTCTTTTGTTTTTCATCTACGTTCCCCTGCTGAAACCTTTCTGACCACCCTTTAAACAAGAATACTGTGTAGCTAGTATATAGAAGATAATCTTAGGAATTACTGAAATCCGAGTAAAGGCGGAACAGGATAGTGGGACAAGAGGAAAGTAAATAGAAATAGAGGGAAGAACTAGGAGGCAAAGAACACTTAGAGGTCTAAACACAGGCATGTACATATAATGTTGAGGAAATAGATCTATGCACACATATTTATATGGCAAGTATTGAGGTAGAAAGTGGACATTGGGCCTTCCTCCATAATACTTTGTTCTAATAGCCCAGGTAAGGTGAACTTACCAACAATTGCTAAAGATGAAAAGGGTGCACAAGCAAATGTGAAGAAAGCTGATGGTGGCCGGCTATCAAAAGATATAGTGTCTGGGGTATTAAAGGCTTGAAGATAAACAAGCAACCATCTAGCTCAGAAGCAACAAAGCTCACTTGGAAGAGGCACACCAGCCTGTGTGATCATGAGGTGTCAATGGAATCAGATATCAGGCATCAAAGACCCGGAACGCAAAAATCATGTGAATGGGGGGGGCACAGATTGAAGACCCAAAGCCTATCTGTAGATAATTGGACATCCCTCACAAAAGGGTCACAAGAAAGAGATGAGCCATTCACTCATCTGATACAACACTGATGAAACATACAACTTTCCTCTAGTTCTTGAGTGTTTTCCCGCCACCCCCACTCCCCTCTTCCACTATCATGACCCCAATTCTACCTTATAAATTCGGCTAGACCAGAGCATGTACACTGGTACAGATAGAGCTGGAAACACGGATCCAGGTCAGATAAGTCCATCAGGACCAATAATGAGAGTAGCAATATCTGCGATGGTAAGGGGAAGGTGGGAGGAGAAAGGGGGAACTGATCACAGTGATCGACATATAACCCCCTCCCAGTGGGACGAACAACAGAAAAGTGGGTGAAGGGAGACAGCGGTCAGTGAAAAGAATAATAATTTATAAATTATCAGGGGTTCATGAGGGAGGGAAGCTGGGGAAGGGGGGGAAATGAGCTGATACCAAGAGCTCAAGTAGAAAAAATGTATTGAAAATGATGGTGGCAACATGTACAAATGTGCTTGACACAATGGATGGATGTATTGATTGTGATACGAGCTGTAAGAGCCCCCAATAAAATCATCTTTTAATAATTTTTTTTAAAAGAAGATAGGCAAGAATTCTGCTAAATTCATTACAGAGCTTCTTTGCCTTTTTCGTATGGTGTCTGGCTGCCTACATTGAAAAGAAATTAACCTGCTCTGCCATCATTCTGTTCACCTCCTCTGTGGACCGGAATTTGAAACTTAAGTTTAATTAGGTTTGCGAGCCCTGCAGGGTGAGTAAGTCTTTACTTGTGATAGGCACAAGGAACCCCTAGTGATGCAAGGTCTGCAGTTGGAAGCAACCTTGGGAGACAAATGAGATTTTCTACCACCACAAAAACATCACAGTCTTGGAAGTTCACGGGGCAGTTCTACCCAGACCTATAGGGTTGTTGTGAGTTGGAATCAACTTGATGGCAGAGAGTTTCTTTTGGTTTGAGTAGTTAGCACATCTCCTCCCAGGTGAGTGTAGTTTGGGGCTAAGGTCAGCTTTATTCCCTGCTAATTATCTCCAGATGAGAGTTTTGATAGAGAAGAGTGGTTGCTGAAACTGACAGTCTTATTCCAGAAGAGAAGCTGCTCAGTCTTTAATAGTGAGGCGAGCAGACCCCAGGAAAGGGATGTAGATGGAAATTAACACAAACTACACCTTCATGTAGCTCCAGGAGGCCAGTAGCTTGCCTTTTAATCAGACCCATCGTCAACATGGCTGTGCTAAAAATGTTTTAACTAAACTCTGAGAGAACCCGGGATGGTGGTGTGGGTTAAGCATTGGATTGCTGACCATCAGGTTAGTGGTTCAAACCCACCAATTACTCTACAGAAGAAAGATAAGGCTGTCTACTCTTAGAAATATTTGCAGTCTCAGAAATTCTAGAGCAGTTATACTCTGTCCCAAAAATGTGAGGGGGCACTTGGAGTCAAAATAAAGATTTCTCTGCACCCTCTAAATTGAAATGTCCATGCCACATTCACTAGTTAGCATTTTAACATTTAGGATCTGCATGCTAATGTTTATTTTTGAATCTCGGAAGAAATTCTGTTGGAAGGCTTTCTTCCTCTCTCCTGTTTAGATTAAAAACACTTTTCTAACTTTAACTGCAGAAAATAGTTAATAGATTTTCATATAACTTAGAATTGTAGAACAACGCAATGTGGTACGTTTAAAGTATGTTGTGGGAAGCTGTACACACCTGAGGCTCAGCTTCTTATTCTAAACTATCAACCCAGCTTGCTTTGTGATAATGGGTGTGTTGTCTCATTCAAGTTCATTCTTTGGGAATTTTAAACTCCTCCTGCGTGTTTTGGAGTTTTTAGGACTAGAATTTACTCTGTAAATGAAATGTACAGACTGCTGGTTATGTCTCATACTCATTACTCAATGGTGGGTGTTCCACTCAGCTATTAGTTAAACGCAGAAAGAACACTGTTCACGGCGTCATTGCTTTTGCTGTTCGTTGCAGAGGACAGTGAAGATGAAAAAGAAGATCATAAAAATGTGCGCCAGCAGCGGCAGGCAGCATCAAAAGCGGCTTCGAAGCAGAGAGAAATGCTCATGGAGGATGTGGGCAGCGAGGAAGAGCAAGAAGAGGAGGACGAGGCACCATTCCAAGAAAGTATGTAAAACCAGCTGTGTGCATCTGCTGTGGGGGATCGTTTCTGACCTTCATGGCTTTCGTGTGTTTTATGGTGATAACTCCTCTGGAGTGGCTGGCTGGTGGGTTCAAACCACTGACCTGTGGTTAAGCAGCTCAACATATAATCCTTTCCCAAAAAAACTCAACTGCCAGCAAGTTAGTTCTGACTCATAGAGACCTCATGGAACTGGGTAGAATTGCCCCTATGAGTTTCCGAGACTGTAACTTTTTTCAGGAGTAGAAAGTCCCAGGAGTAGCTTTCTCCTCTGGAGTAGCTGGTGGTTTCTAATTGCTCACCTTGACGTTAGCAGCCCAGTGCCTAACCGCTTGGCTCCATACACCACCAGAATTCCTACTCTGTCCTGATAGTAGGAGCACTATTGGTCATAATTGACTCAGCACAAAACACCAAACTCATTGCCATTGAGTCACTCCTGACTCACTGAAGGGCCGGTGGGTTTCCAGGACTAAAATAACTCTTCACTGGAGTAGAACGCCCGTTTTTCTCCCTCGGAGTGACTGATGGTTTTGAACTACTGATCCTGTTAGTAGCCCAATGGATAACCACTATGCCAAAATTAGTTCACTGGATTAGGTAATAATTTTATCAGTGGAGTTGACTTTTAATAAACCATTGATAAACCAAAATATTTTAAACCTTCCAAGATCCCCATGATTATAATTGTCTGTCTGCCATGTTCACGATTGCATTCTTTATTCAGTAACTGATACTGCCTTGTACTCAAGAATTGAATGAACAATTGTTAGCTAACAGTTACATGTCTGTTAGTGTTTGTGGTTTTGAGTTATATTTTGGCCTGGTGGAGGAAGTGTGTAGACTTCTCTCCCTCCCTTGCGAAAGTTCCTAACAGGATTCTTCACAGGTTACTAATCAGATTAGTATTTTTGGGTGTGTTTGCATGTATTTATAGTTGCACGTTAAACTCCAGGTCTGTTGGATTTCATTGACCTGGTCTTGTCATGGGAATGGTGGGGCTACCAGAGGTTATTGATGGCTTTGGTTTGTATTAAGATGCCCCTTCCTTAAACTCATTGCTGTCAAGTTGGTTCTGACTGCCCCACAGGGCGTCCAGGGTTTCTTCCCCTGGATTAGCTTACGGGTTCCAGCCAGCACCCTTACAGTGAGCCGCCCAGTGCTTGAGCCACTGTGCAGCCAGGGCTCCGGATCCTTTCAACCAAGTCGTGTGATCCTCCTGTGAGGTGATGTAAGGCCAGTTGGCAGTATAACCGCAAGTAGACCCTAAGAGCATTAGGGTTCCAGATGGGGTCTTTCAGCCATTCTGCACACTAATTTTCTTCACATGGGAGTGTGTGCACGGTGAGTTGCTTGCTAACATTCTTCTCCTCCTTAGAAGATTCTGGCAGTGATGAAGATTTTCTAATGGAAGACGATGACGATAGTGATTATGGCAGTTCAAAAAAGAAAAACAAAAAGATGGTTAAGAAATCCAAACCTGAGAGAAAAGAAAAGAAAATGCCTAAACCCAGGCTAAAGGCAACAGGTGAGTTATGGGAAAAGGAGATTAAAATACTGATTTAGAAAATTGCAAGAACCCCAGATTCTGTATTAAAACCTGACATTTGCCAGATACTTAGCAGGAATACAAGAATCCCAAATGGACATGTCTTCTGTATCTGGAAGTATCACTAAAGATGGATTAGGAAGAAGGAGAAGGGTTAGGGTTTGCTACCAGATAAACCTGATTTGAGAACCCTTTAGCAGCTGTTCTGTTTTTAATGTTTAGGAAAGGCTACTTGATAGGTTGGCTGTATTAAAATAGGGATTTCCATCCCACCTAGAGTCTAGTGCGCTTAGCCGTGTTCTCTTAAGGGCTGCCATACATTGCAAGATTCAGGAATTGCCGGTTTGTATCCGGCACAGTGTGTTAAATACTTGGTCAGCATCGCCATCTATGCTCTTTCAGCCCCCCACCCACCCACCCACGAGTCTCAAATTTTAGTAGTTAACAGATTGTTGAAACTGAAAAATACACAAACCTACTTTTAATACAGCATTTAAGGTCTGTGTTCTGACTTGCCCCATTCCCTCCAACCCCACTATTCGACTTCGCCCTTGGTTACCTGGATTCCTTTTACTTGATTGAGCATTGGTGCTTCCTGCTAGATAATTCTCATTCTTCTAGGCAAGCTTCGTTTCTAATGAAATCACGAGCCTGGGCTTGCTGTTTGAACCTGTGGTTTTATTCAGGCTACTAGAACCGGGGCTTTCACTTAGCACTTCTTGTTCTTGGGGTCGATGCAACGATATCAGATGATTTGAAGGCATTGGTTTCTCTGGTCTCTTGCCCTCTTAGCTTGGTTTTTAAACAAACACATTTTATCATGACTAATTGGCTTCACAAGGCACTAAGGATGGGGTGCCATTTCGGGCACATTGTGTTTTTCTGTGTTGTGTGACAGAGTAAACTGCCACCACGAGTCCCTTTTGCTCCTGGCAACACCCACCCCACCCCCACTCCCAGGTGCATTTCAGAGTAAAAAGGGATTCACGGGCTTTTCCCAAAGTAGCTAGACCATCAGGCCCTCTAACAAGTCTGGCACCTCTGGCCTCCAACTTTACGATGTTAGCAGCCGAGCCCGTGTATGTACCGCTTGGCTTGCACCACCCCTGTACCTCCCCTCCCATTCATGAGGATCATTGCTGATACACGTGACAGTGGTGGTCCGAGAAGGAACAAACCCGACACTGCCCTGATCTCCGTGGCTAGTTCCGAACCTGAGCGCGGTTTCTAGGAATACGTGTGTGCCTTGGTGCCCAACTTGGTGGTTAGCAGGTGGAAGAGTGTCTTTAGGCTTCACTCGTGGAGGTGGTGGTGTGAAAGACAGTTGTCTCTGTTACCTTTCTCAAACGGGCACTCTCCTTCCTCCAGTGACGCCGAGTCCGGTGAAAGGCAAAGGCAAAGTGGGCCGTCCCACAGCATCCAAGGCATCAAAGGAAAAGACTCCTTCCCCCAAAGACGACGAAGACGACGAGCCAGAAAGCCCTCCAGAAAAGAAAGCCTCTGCCAGCCCCCCTCCAGGGAAGTCCGGGGATGAAGGGTCTGAAGATGAAGCCCAGTCTGGGGATGATTAAAAGTGATGATGGTTTGGGGAGAGATTTTATTAAAGAGAGAAAGAAAGAGAACCTACTTACGATAGAATGTGGTTTTGGCTATGGCTTGACTCATGGGGTCTTTGAATGCCTTTTTTTTTTTTTTTGTTAACCTTTCTTTCTTCCTTTAAAAAAGAAAAAAGAAAACCATTGTATCTTGTAAGTTACCTCTCTTGGATGTTGGGCTTCTCTTTGCCATCCCCACCCCACCCCACCCTCGATGAAAGCCATGTCCAATTACTGGATTGACTGCTTCATCTTTTTATTTTAATGCAAGGTTATAACGCAATTAAGATTTGAGATGAACACTATAAAAAATTTCCTTTTTGCTAAATGACAGGAAGTTGACTAGTGATCAGAAAGTGTAGTGTGGATTTAGTTAAAATTGATTGCTTCTTTGTTCCTACCTGCACTTTTTTTTTTAAAAGTCCTCTAATAGGAGCTTTTATTATCTATATACATGAGTATCCATGTCTTTTTAAAAAATCATGACCTTAAACTTCCACTGATGGAGGCAGGTAGGGAAGGAGATGAAGGTGAATTCTAAGTTGTTACTAAAGTATTCCTATTTTTATCTTGGGAGAGGCTGCCTGACTCTGAGGGTGCCAGTGCCCTTTCATTCACCATGGGGCTCAGAGACTCGCAGGGGACCCTCTCCTGTGCGGTCTTTAAGAAGGAAATAAAAAAAGGCAGGGTCGCCAAAACTGAAATCACTTTGGATTTCAGATCTCATTCTCTAAGGGTTCATGTTTTTAAAATATATGTGTATCTGTCTGTTTCTTAGATAACATTTTACCACGTATATCCCCCGCCCCAGGGAAAAGCAGACCCAGCAAAAACCCTCGCGTTGAGACGGCCATGCCGAGCTCTGCTTCACATTGACTTTCCTCCCAAACTACAATGTTGTCTAGGCTTTAAGCAAATAAAGTACCAGTTCATGTGAAACTCAAATACACATGGGTTGCGATGTCTCCTTCACGAGGATAGAGAGAGAGTCGCTGTTCTTCTGTTCTGCTGGAGCTGTGTCCTCAGATCCCGAGGCCCGTGCTGGTGTGGAGGGCAGCGTGTCTTCCTCTCCACACCCAGCTGCCCCTTTCTTCTGCAGCGCCTTCCATAATGCATCTCTCCTCCGCTTGCTGTGACACCAGACTCCTTCCTCGACCTGCTCGTGCCCACTCCCTGTCCTGGGTGAGGGTGCGGTAACCCTTGGCTCGAGTCTCTCCCCCTGGTCCCCTGCTTACTGCTCTGGTGGCTGAAAGCAGGCGTTTGGGGCTCAGCAGTGCTAAAGAAGCCCTACATTCAGGAGCCCTCCATGCAGTTGATGAGCAACACTTTATACGTCTCACAAAAGAGGTATATAAAATAAGAGACATAAAAAGGACTTATAAAAGGCTGAGAAATTCCTGAAATTCAAGCTCTTATCTCTTTGCTGCCTTTTACCTGGGCTTGCTTCCTTGATGCCCAGCTTTTAAGCTGCAGTATGTTCTTGTTCCTGACAACATGACTGTCTTGCAGGTGTTCTAAGATGAAAGGTTTTGCCAGGAATATATATTTTTATTGTGCTATTTTTGGAATCACCCAGTGGATTCATGTCCTCACTGTTACTCCATCTATGTTAATAAGTTTGGAATTTTCCATGCCAGGACAAAAATGTAAGACTTGAGCATAAGTAGTGGTTGGATTATCTTTCTTGCATAAACTTATTCTTGGGAACTTTATAGCAGTAGTGTGGAAAGATCCTGTGCTGTAGTGGGTCTGTTCAAGAATCCGTTTTTAACAAGAACGTCGATGTTCCTTGTAGTAAAGACCTTCCAGTGCTTCTGCCACAGGCTGCCTTTTTCAGGGTTTATAACCCAGGCTTACACTCCTGGCGGCATTGGGGCTTAGATGACATCTCATGAAGAGGGGGAGAGCTGTCTTAAAACGCCAACCTTGCGACTTTGCGTAACCCGAGTTCTCTGGTAGATTCATCTGTACTAGCATCTCTGGTCGTGATGTACACACCCGTAACCACAGCCTGCTTGGGTCCTTTAGGTAACTTGCGTGTGTTTGGGTGTGTGCTTGTTTGCTTGTGAACACCACTCCCCTTTCGTTTTTTTTGTTTGTTTTTCAATCATAAGATTGAAAATGTATTCTATATGCCTGAGAGACTAGAGACCAGGCTCCAAATGATCTGTTGCCCACCACACCACCCCAGTCTTCCTCTAGGTCACTGCATGCAAATAGGAGGGTAGTTGCAGTGCCTCCTCTGGGAACAGGTGCTCAGTGGGCGTGGGCATGACCATTGGCACCGCCCTTCCCTCCACTTCCTCCTCTTTCCAGGTTGCCTGTGGGCAGGTGGCAGTAGCATTGGTTAGCTCTCTTAATTTGCAGTGCTCAGGAAATAGGACTTAGAGGTGCTCGTTTGTGTTTTCTTCTCGCAGTGTCTGTTCACGCTGTTAGCTTTACCCATGTGACATACTTTTCAGCTCTGCTGACTGACACTACACCATCCACCCCACCCCCAGGTTCCCTTCCAAGTGATAGCAATGGGGGTCTGGCTTCTTTTATGAAACCATCTGTATCTTGCTGCTACTTCAGCCCCTCGTCGGCATCAGTGGGGTGGGCCCCAAGGGGTTCACTTCATTTTAGAAATGGTAGTTTTTCTTGCTTCCCCTCTCCTCCCTCTACCCCCGTGTTGATCCCATAAAAGAAACTACTGGTGTTTCCTCTTAAGGAGGTGATGAGAGCAAATCTTTCATTTTAAAGAATCGGTGTAGATGTATTCCCATGAAGGAACGTTGATGCTGATTTTGTTTCCCATCTTGGTTGGCTCCGAAATCATTCTTTCGTGGAGTACTTCCTTCCTTGGGCAAGAGTGGAGCTCGAGGTTAAAACTCAGTAAACTGAGAGGGCCAGCCGAACCTGACACTTGGGCTTTGTTATAACAGTTCTCTTTGTTTCATGAGCAGTCAAGTCACAAGTCGATTTCAGAGTACTGGCTAGGGGAGGAAATAATGCTTGTCTTTAAGCAAACTCCAACTGAGGAGATGCCTTTCAGATGGTTCGGTTAGGAAAGGTGGTGTGGCCCTTGTCCCTGCCCTCGAGAATGAATGCGCCTTTCAACAGTGCTTTCTGAGCCTGTGTCTCTGGTAGCTGTGCTGGGGAGAAAGGCTGTCACCGGAGGAGCCTACATGTAGGCTCTGTTCTTCATGGGCTTGAGTGAGTAATACACGTTTCCTGCTGAGGAGTAGGGAAAATAGAACAAGCTGGTTTCTCTTAAGGTATGGATAATTGTCCGTTTCTCTGTGAAAGACGCTGCGTTTATTTGAAAACGGAGTTCATTAATCGTTTGAATCAGGACACCGCACTATCCAAACCAAGTTTCAATCTGCAACCCATTTCCTTTTTGTCTTAGGATCAACTTGAGAGAATTCTTGATTCCCAAACCCATTGTTATACCTCTGTCTGGGTTTTTTGTTTGTTTGTTTTCCCCTCCTCAAAGCCTAATTCACAAAATTCACAGTGGTGCTGACTGTGTATTAACCACTATTGGGGGGAAAAATCCCATAAAACCTGCCTGTTGCCATGCCAATGGAATGACTGAGCTGGTGACATCTGTGGGAGCATGCTTTGTGTGGCTGGTGGAATGCCACCATTGTGCATACACTTTGTACATCAGGGGTTAAGGGAGGGTTTTCTAGATTATGGGGGGGAGGGTAAAATTGGGGTATTTTTTTTCTTTTTGCTGGGGTGGGGGTGTAGTACTCAGTTTATGCCCTAAATAACATGTATAAAAGCCCCTGAAGTATTGTGTGGGTGTGAGTGTGTGTTTGTATATGTCTGGCAATTAAACCTTTGTCTTCTGGAAATTAGTGAAAAAAATTTTTTTCTCCAGAAGTATTTGTTACAAAACTTGTAAATAAGAGCTCTACTAGTTTGTTTACCATGAACATGTTGCATCAAACCTCTACACTTAATAATCCCTGCAAGAGTGCAGGAAAGACTGAAGACTTGCCAGGTTAAACAGCAGCCAAGTTCTTGGGGAATTACTTGCCTTGAGAATTCCTGTTCCAGACACACTCATTTTGCCCACTCTAAAATTCCCTGTCAACCTTTACTTTCCTCTGTAAGCGTTGACCTTCTGAGCAGGAAGGGTTCTAAGAGAGGACCTGCTCACAGCTGTTACCTAGTCCAGAAGCTGAGATGGGGGCGTCCCTGTATTCCCAGTGAACCTTTGTTTGCTACACACGTGGTTGCTCACCAGCAGGTTGGGCATTCTTGCAATGCTTTTCAGCAGTGCTGGAATCTGTAGCTATGGCACTATGGGAAGGGAAGTAAGCTTGAATGGAACCATTTCATTGAGAAGGCCTTTGGGTTTTTCTTTGGATCTCACTGGGATTGCCGTGTACATGATTTTGTTGGCATGTCCGGGAACTGGAGATGCAACATGCCTTGGCGGAACTGTGTGAAGGTCCTTTGTGCTACTTAATTTCCACATCGGCGTAGACGAGAGTAAAAAAAAACTCCTGCATTGCTTTTCTCGAAGGGTTTCCAGGACTGCGTGTCTGCTCCTGAGCTCTGTTTTTAAGTATGTGTATCCTTTGCTTGTATTTTGTATTAAAAAAAATTAAGAAAAAGAACCCTTTATCGTTGAGCATGTTGGCATTGTCCCTTTTTTCCTCCTCTTTCTGGGACATATGAAGCAAGTTATTCTTTTTCTGTATCTTTTTTTTTTCTTTTGTAAACTTTTTTGTTTTGTTTAAAATGGCTTTATAAAAGGGCTTTTGTAACCCAGATGTGTGTTCTGTGTACTTCTTCTGACCCCCTGGCGCAGATCTGACCCTGCGGGGCCCGGCTGGCCCCTCAGCCAGTCCTTGGGAGATGGACGGTAGCCATCTCAGCGATAAGGACAGCAGATCCGAAAAGTCAGGAGTGATGGGTAACTTACTACCGAGTGGAGAGGCCAAAGGTAGTGGGAGCACTCACTGTTTATTTATTAAGGACCCATTGGACTGAATGAGTGAGAATCCCTAATTAGCATTTCCCCTACCTGACACCCAGGGTTATACAGTATTTTGGAGGACAATGTATTTCATGAATCATACAATAAAGGATCTGTAATCACAAAGCATAAAATTTTGCATTCAGTCTCATAACCTGGAAGGACTACACTAAATCGCCTTGCAATTTAGGCTGAAATAATAATCCTTGGTTGGAACTGGGCTGGTGTAGCTAAAAAGCTACATTGAGGCCGTCACGTGGATATTGACACTCGGACACGGTAGGACCGTCAGCCTGCCTCTGCATTTCCAAGGCTGTAACTTCCTGGGAGCAAAAAGCCGTAGATCTCTCTTTACCTGTGACATCACAGGTAGATCTCTCTCTACCTGTGACATTAATTGGCATGCAAGCATGACTTTGATATTAAATGCCCTTTTCCACTGTTCTGCCTCAGTAACGAGCTTCGGAAAACTCTCACTGCCTTTCAGTAAATGCGGACTCTTAGTGAGTGACCCTGTGAGACAGGTTAGAACTGCCCTTAAGGGTTTTCAAGCCTCATCTTTCTTCCTATGAGCTGCTTGTGGTTTCAGACTGCTGGCATTGGGGTTAGCAGCCAATGTGTAACCCCCAGTACCCCAAAGCTCCCAGGAGCCAGCTTACTTCCCTCACTGCATACCAGTTCTTTGCCCCAGATGATGCCGGCTTCTGCAGAGGGCTCATGTTTCTTCGTAACCTGTAGGGGTTTGTGATGAACGTGCCGTTTCCTTGTACAATGCATTGCCGAAAACATTCTGGTGTAAAGAATCTCAACCGCATCAGACTGGGTATGATAAACTATCCCGGGCACTGCCTTCACATGTGAACGTGAGGTAGCATTTGAACACTATCGGTACATCTCAGGCCAGCTGGTGGATAGCCTTGCATTTCATTCACCTCATTCCGTTTTACCACCAACAGACTGGCGAGGCCGCTCCAATTTTATCGAAAGGTTACCTGCTTCGGGCAGCATGTCATTTGACATGGCTAGTGTGTAGTCCAGCGAGAACTTGAACCGAGTCACAAGTCCTGTGTACTTTATGTTACATGCTAACCCTAAAGCCAGCTCCCATTTGAATGAGTCCCTGAAGCAGCAGTTCTTAATCTGGGTCGAGACCCTTTGGGGGTCAAATGACCCTTTCACAGGGGTCACCTAAGACCATTGTAAAACATATTTCCAATGGTCTTAGGAACTGAGACACCGCCCCTCTGTCCATGTCCAAGCAGGTCTGCCCACATGCAGACACGCCCATGTACAAGTATTCGGTGTGTAGACTTACCCATGCTTCAAGACAAAATTCCATTTATTTGTTATTAGAAATAAATATTTCACACTATGTACTTTTGTGATGCATCACTGCGTTAATGATGTTGAATTTGTAACAAAATGTCCTGCACACCAGATATTTACATGACGATTCATAACTAGCAATATTACAGGTAAGAAGTAGCAATGAAAATAATTTTATGGTTGGGGGTCACCACAACATGAGGAACTGCGTGAAAGGGACTCAGCATTAGGAAGGTTGAGAACCACTGTCCTGGAGCCTCCTTCCTGGTATTGACCTTGTTGACATGACTTTTACAGCTCCAAGTAGCAGCTATGCCTTACCCGTCTAGTTAGTCCGTTACAACCACGATTTAATGGGGAAATTTTGAAACTCCTCGCTGGGATGCGAACATTTCTCGGGAATTGATTCATTTCATTTGCTTGGAAATCCCTATGCCTCCTAGATAGATTGCTTCCAATGAAACTTCCTGGTGAGGACGAACGACAACAATTTCCTTCTGACGGTAGAGGGCAGTGTCTGTCTTCCCTGTACTTGACGTTGCTCTCGGTGCTTGGTTTGGATACCGCCCTCGGCTCAGAGTCCTGTATTAGGACACTGTCACCTACTTGCGTCTGGTGAGTGTGCCAACTTCATGCTGGAGTCCGTGCAGCAGTCCAATGGCTGGCCTCATGCCATTGACTTTTACAGCCCCAAAACCTGATCAAAAGACGTGCACGCTGTGATTTCAAAGCACAGCTATGAACTGTTGGTCCCTGTGTCAAGAGGCCGCATTTGGGAACTACGTAGTGTTTCGCACAAGCTCTACAGCCTTGCATTTGGAGTTCCTTTCCGTTGATGGCAAGTCTCTCCTTCATAGAATGGTCAGGTGTTCGTTTTGGCATGCATTGGCTGGGTCTGCTCTCCACCAGGAGAAATCAACGTGGTTCACACGTGTGCCTCCTATTTCCTTAGTAAAGACCTGGACAAATACTGTACAAGCAATGCTGTGTTCACCCCGGAGGCAGGGAGTGAGGGTGCAGCCGGAGTTTCCATCCTTTTAAGGCAAATATTGACTTTAAAATACGATAACACAAGAAGTAACACTTTGCCTTGATTTAACTCGAAACTGATTCCCAGATAGATATGATTGGCTTAGAAATCTAAGAAGCCCTGTAGTTGGCAAAACACACTTATTCCCATGCTTTAAAACTTCTAAAGTGAGTGGGATGTAGCTATGTGAACGTGTGTACACACATGCAGCTACTAAAAGCATTAGAAAACTTGAATACTCTAGCTCTTTCAATAGGGTGTGTAAGGCTACTTTGATGTGAAATGTAATATGTCAGGTAGTTCTTTTTCCATCTTGACCTGAACAGGAAGATGTCCTTTATGGGCTGGCCTGCCTCTGAGAGGTTAGGATGGATAAGTGAGGTGAGGCTCTGAAGGTAGTAGCATAGAAAGGCATTGATCCAAGAAAAAATGCATGACCTCAATTTTAGCAAAATTGCTTGTTTGGCTACCCTAGTTGGTTGCGTGGTAAGAAGTGATTCTCCCCTCCAAGGAAATGAGCATGTGTGGTAATTAAGAAGTCCAGGTAGCTTAGTGGTTACATGTTGGGCTGCTAACCCCAAGGTCAGCGGTTTGAAACCACCAGCCACTCCTAGGGAAAACTGTTTTATAGAGTTTCAGTCTTAGAAACACACCCGGGGGTCCTTTCCTCCACCTTGTCCTGTAAGGGTGTTAGGAGTCAGCATCCACTCAATGGCAGTGAATTTGGTTGGTTTTGTTTGAGGGTGTGGGGGGTGGCCTACTGGTTATGCATTGAACTTCTAACCCCAAGGTCAGCAGTTCAAAACCACCTGTCACTACAAAGGAGAAAGAGGGGGCTTTTTACTCCCATAAAGAGTTGCAGTCTCGGAAGCTGATATCAAGGAGTTCAAGAAGAAAGAATGTTTTGAAAGTGATGGTGGTAACAATTGTACAATACTGCTGGACGGGACTGAACTATGGAATTACTGCTCTCTGTATTAGCTCAAATAAAATGGTTAGGGGGGAAGTGAAAAACTGACTGTCTTGGAAACCCACAGTGGCAGTTCTACCCTGTCCTATCAGGTTACTATGAATTGGCATTGACTTAATAGCAGTGGGTGAGTAATAGAATTAACAGAAAATGGATTGTGAAACTGGTCTTTACCAAAAAGGGTGTGGAGACTGGATTCTCACGTCATGGGTATAAACTGCGTCTCTGATAGTTCACGATTCAGCCTAATGGACTGAGATCCTCAGCACTGCTTTCACAGAGAGCTTCACTTGCTCCGGAGTTCATGACGCAGTGCAGCTCTGTGTTAAGTAAGACACTAGGCATCTCGAGGAGTCTGGCCAGACTCGGACGACATTCTGTGTCATTGGAACATTAGCCGGGGCTCTAGTAGCCTCGCTTCATATTTCGTGTGTGCCACGGCTCTGTTACAAACCTCCAGCCTCTCACCTATTTTATTGCCACTGTTTTGTTTGTGAACAAATAGTTTCCAGTGCACTGGGGGGGGGCGGGGGTTGTGGGTTGGTTTTTTTTGAGAAGTTGTTTTCATGTGAGCCAGGTAGCCCTGGAGAAAGGTGAGGAACGAGGGTAACAGTTGGGCTGGGTACAGAGGAAACACCACTTCGTAGTAAACTGGGAGCAATGGTGGGCTGAGATCAGAAAGCTCCAGTATGGGGAACTGCTGGCGTGACTTCAGGTGTGTGGCTATGCAGAGCATTTCCTTAAAGAGTGTGGTGGTTGTCCTAGACCTCACACCACAGACCAGCCTTGGGCCATCAGCAAAGCAGGTTGATCCTGCTCTCCTCCTGCCCCCTCTCACGCTCTTCCCCCCACCCCACCCCCCCACTCTTCCCGGAAGCAGGCAGGCGGGTGCTTAGCTCCTGCGCTGCTCTCTCTTTCCTAGAAGCAAACATTGAACAGTGACTGAGAAGCCCTGCCGGCCGGGCTGCACTAGTAATGCGGACCATGGAAGTGGGAGTTCTCAGAGCACACATCTCTGCCAGCGTTCTCCTCAGAGTCACCAGCAAGGTTCAGTGACCATGACAACCATGGGGGCAGCATTCCAAACCAGAAATTGGGGCCCGCGGTATAATGGAGAGTTTTGGTCTGATTTCCCTGTCTAAGGTATTGTTTGGATCTTTGAATGTTGGCAATCCCGGTATATC